TCATTACTCGTCATCTGTGACGCGTTCAAGCTTCGTTGTGCGCAGCGGCAGCTGTGTAGGAGATTCATGACAACTGGCTCGATCAACTAGGCAGCGGGTGGCCACCGATGAACGTCGTGCAGACGTCACGCCAATGAGCCAACAAGGTGATTGTCTCCTCCCTTACTCCTTTCTCTCTCTCTCACACACAAACACACACATGCGGTAGCGCATATTCCCATGACCTGGCTGTGGATATATTTGATTTTGCTCACCCTATCTGAGGAAGGAGGGAAGTTGAGGGGTTGGAGACTTACTTGCTCTATCCTTCTTCTCCCCTTCGTCGTCGTCGCAGCCACCTGCCAGCTGCCTCCTTAGTGAATAGTGACGCCTAACACAAACGATCCACAACCTGGTTACCTCAACATTGACAACCTCGACCATCGCCAGCGGCGAGCGGGCTGTCGTGAAAGTCTTCCGAGAAAGACGAACAAAGGTCCGAGCGACGTTTGCCGAGTTTCTTCGATCACCAAAAACGACTCGCCCAAAACTGGAGACTGCCTAAGGCGTGTGCAGTGAGTCCCTCACGCCTGGCTTGTCGCCATCACCGTCCTCAAAAGGAGGTAAGTTCTCCTTTCCTCCTGTCTCCTTCCTCCCTACCTCTTCTCCTTCTTTCTTCTCTTGCGACTGCTAGCATGCTTCTTTCCCCTTTTTCTTACCCCCGTACCTCTCTCTCTAGTGTTCGTGCCTCTTTTCTCCCTGTTCACAATCGCTATCTCCCTGCGCGATCCTCACTTGTCATCGTAATGCCCTTCGCAAGTTTATCTTCCTTGCTCGCACCCTCTACCCCTGCGAGGTGTTCCTTTTCTCTTGTCTCTGCTCCCTGTCCCTCGTACCTTCGTGATGTCGCGCCATACTTTTCGGCGGCCAAGTCCTTTACGACCTAGGCCGGATGAGCTATTCGAACGACCTATCCTAGTCTCAGTGGTGCATTCGTGAAAGTGAATCCAAGGAGAAAACACAGGGTTCGGAAGAAGAAAAACTTAGTAAAACAACGAAATCTAACTTAAAAGAAAGGAAAAAAAAAGAAAAAAACAAAAGAAAACTTACTCTTAACCACCCCGTCGTGACAACTGTCACAACGGGGTACAACTGTACCTGATTCCAATCCTAAAGTCACGGGTTCGAGCCCTGCCCGAACGAAAACGGGGAAAAACGAAAGTTGAGCTCCTTACAAAAGGAGTTGGCTCAGGGTCGGGCGGACTTGATCCCTGTATCCGTCGTTTAACAGTCTGCCCTTCTAACCTACTGAGCTAGCTCCCATATCGAGAAGATGGGGAGCAACTCTATTATGTATAGAGTACTAATTCGGCCTAACTAGCGGCCTGAGCCCATTTTTCCCAAATCAGTGCATGTGTACGTTCGCCGATCTGTGTACTCGTTTGGATGCTTTGCCGGCTTGAGCGAGTGGGTGATCCGCAAGGCTACTTGATTGAGTGGAAAGCCCGAAGCGCGGGTACCAACCAGCGTTAATGACATCGATGGTCGTGGCGTGGAAATCATTCAAGGGTAGAGGGTGACCGGTACCACATTATGTAAGGGTTGATGCGTCGGGTGTTTGAGGCTAAGCAGAAGAAGACAAAGTTGGCTTTTCTAGAATCCTAATACCGGTAGTCGCTGCTTCAGGCTGTGACGATATGATTTCTATAGAAATCCTGGCCTCATTGGCCGAGGAATTCACTTCACGGCGTTACGCCGAAAGCTTTTACTTTTCACTCCTGACCACTCCCGGTATGGTGGTCGGCGTTGGCATTATATCGAATGCAATATCATGAGCGAATACCCTTGTAAGGGTGTTCGCTCCGACAGCGTTAGTGGCGATTTGTCGCTCGTAGGCTTTGACAACGCACGGTGCACTGCGTAGCAGTTCCTGTTGGAAATCTAGTACAGATCGTCTAACGGGCGATACATGAAGTGAACCTGCTACTGTCTGTTGCGTCCCTTCCCTACATGTTGTTTGATTCTGTCTATCTCATTCCCGCCTTTGATCGCTCGAGGGATCATGTCTTCACGATAGTCGAACGTCTTAGCATCACGGTGGAGGTATAGTTTCGATGCATGGAACAGGAGGTATGTGCGCAGATGGGTTGGCACTTCAACTACGAACGAAGGGCCAAACTGGTCTTCGCCAATCACATCCAAAACTTCCCACGGTCCGTAATAGAGTGGGAGAAGTTTGTGAGAGACCCCTTCTTCTTCTGAGAATTCAGACATCTTGACCCAGACATAGCTTCCCACCTGAATGTCGGGCATGCGAATCAATTTGATCGGGTCTCACATACATGCGCAAAAGTTGTTGGCACAAACGGTTCATCTGCTCACTTTGTCCATTCGTTTCAGGGTGTTGCCCTGACGACATGGTCAGTCGTATACCGTATGCTTCCATAAGCTTTTGCCATGGCATACTTGTGAACCTGGCATCACGGTGAGATACAATGGAGAGAGGAAAACCATACTCAGTTACCCATCGCATCTGAAACTTTTGGATGACAAGTTTTGTTCACAGTTTTGCGGGTAAGGGAATAAACATGGCATATTTAGAGAAATGATCCACAATAACCATTACTTGACTATTGTCGTTCCGACTTTTGGTAAGGCTCAAGAAGTCAATCGAGATAGACTCACCTGGTTCACTAGGAATCGGTAATGGTTTCAGAAGACCAAGTGGATTCTCATGTGAAGGTTTGTTCCTCTGACACATCAAACACGTACGAACATAAGTTAGTACGTCCTCTTTCAATCTCTTCCACTCAAAGCGTTCTCTAACCTCTGTGTAAGTTTTCTTGAAACCAAAATGTCCTTCAAAGTCGTGACATTCCCCAATCAACAAACTTTTGATTTCTTCTTGATGAGGAATCCTCAATCTTTGATTAGTTTGGTCTAACAAGAAAAGCAAACCATCGGTCCCTCTATAGTTGGGAAGTAGAGATGGATCTTTCACAAGGACATCCATTATAGGCTTCCAAATAGGATTAATAGTATATCCTTGACGAATTTCATCTTTCAGATCACTCCCAACGTCTAAGTAAGAGACAATAGTACCAAAGAAATCACAACGTTTGGACAATGCATCTTCAACCACATTAGACTTACCTTTGTTTTTAATTCAAAATCAAAAGTATCAATGAATGCAGACCAACGTACTAACTTATCAGAGAGGCTAGGTTATGTTTTTATCCACTTCAAAGTAGAGTAGTCTGAGTACACAGTGAAGTGCCTCCCTAACAAGTAGTGCTTCGATGTGTCCAGCGCACAAACTAAGGCATATAGTTCCCTTTCATACGTGGAGTTGGCGACCTTGTCTGATGGTAGTCGTGCAGACATAAACTCAATAGGTCTATAACCATTGCCATCGTTTCGTTGAAGGACTGCGCCAATCCCATACTGACTTGCATCAGTAGTAACGATGAAGGGAAAATACGGATCAACAATTTTCAGAACTGGATAGTGAGTCAATGCATACTTTACCTTTTTAAAGGAGGACTCACTGTCCCACAACCAGATAGTTCCTTTTTTTAATAATCTTCTCATTAGTGCGGCAATCTGTGAGAAGTTCCTTACAAACTTTCTATAGTAGCTTGCCAAACCAAGGAAAGATCGTAACTCAATTACAGACTTAGGTCGTGGCCAATCTTTAATTGCTGATATTTTCTTTTCTTCGGGCCTTAGACCCTCCTCGTTCACTATATGTCCAAGGTATAAGACTTCAGACTTAGCGAACTCAGACTTCTTTGGATTTAGCTTGAAGTTGCCCTCCCGCAACTTTCCTAATACGAGACGTAGGTGTTTTTCGTGATCTCCTAGTGTCTTACTGTACACTAGAATGTCGTCGAGATAGACAATGCCGAATTGGTCCAACCATTGACGAAATAGTTCATTCATGGATCTTTGGAAGGTCGCTGAGGCGTTAGGTAGTCTGAAAGGCATAACCACGAACTCGTAGTGACCATAACTGGTTCGGAACGCAGTCTTGTGTTGATCCGCGGGATCCACCTCGATCTGGTGGTATCCAGACTTTAGATCAATCTTACTAAAGAACTTGCAGCCCTGCAACTGGTCAGACAAGTCATCAATGTGTGGAAGTGGTTCGGCGTTCTTAACAGTGACGACATTCAACCCTCTGTAGTGAATACAAAGACGCAACTCACCTTCCTTTTTGGGCACAAATAGGACAGGGGCACCATAAGGAGAGGAGCTAGGGCGAATTCATCCTTTTTCTGTTAAGTCCTGCAACTGCTTCTTAAGTTCCTCAAGTTCCCTATGAGACATTTAGTAGAAAGGGCCCTTGGGAATCTTACTACCAGGAATAATTTATATTGTGTGCTTGATAGCACGTTCAGTTATTCTTGTTGGTTCAGTTTGTATATCTTTTTACTCCTCCAGGAGTTTCTCAATCTAGTAGAACATTCACCTGCCTTCTTCACTGAGACCATCATTATTTCCTGTTCCAATTTCTTCTTTGAAACCATCGATCAAAATGTTGGGTAACTCATGCAACAGAAAGACAGACTAGCGTCAGAGCCAGACTTATGATACAGTTTGATTGGTTTCAATTCGGAATGTGCATCCCTCAATTGTAATATCTTCTCTTTGAAATTGATTTCTGGGTTGGCTTCCTCGTGCCACTCCATACCCAAAATCAAATCAAAGGGTAATTTTTTTTCCACAAGGAAGGATACTTCGTGTAGAATCTTCTTACCTTCCTTGGTACGACACTTAACACGATCAACACACTGCGAGATAGTGATCGTGCTTCTCTTTGAAATTGATTTCTGGGTTGGCTTCCTCGTGCCAATCCATACCCAAAATCAAATCAAAGGGTAAATTTTTTTCCACAAGGAAGGATACTTCGTGTAGAATCTTCTTACCTTCCTTGGTTCGAAAACGACACTTAACACGATCAACGCACTGTGAGATAGTGATCGTGTTTTTGTTAGCCAAAATAGACGTGATAGGTCGAGACAAATCTTTCACTTTCATTCCGAGATGCAACTTGCGGATTGCTTTCATAGATTTCCTAGCCCACGAGCTCCGTAGTGCCAACAACTCGTTACCGAGCTCGTCAAGAGAGTCGTCCAGAGAGACAGTGCATAAGACAAGTTCAAGGTGTTCCGGACGATGGGCCAAAGAAGAACCATCCTCTGCCATGTGAGTCAAAGGGTTGAAAGGGTTAGTAGGCGCCTTACCTTCATATACATCCAAACCCTTAAGACTTAATAGGAGCAGATGTTACTCCTATTAGCTGCTCGCTTTTGGGGTTCGGATTAACGGGCACCAAGCAATCGCATGCCCTCCAGTGCCACACTTCAGGCATTGTGCGTTGTCCATCCGCTCCTGCCACGTTTCTCGTGACAGGCCCATCTTTTCCCACGGCCTCCCGACCGCAATTCCGGGGTGCTCTGGGAATGAGCGTGGTCTCTTCTTCTTTACCGTCGGTCGTGGTCCTCCCTTGTTGACCACCATAGCAGTGACTTCCCCCTTCCCAAACTCACTGCTGCTCGCGACACCCTTGGCCTCCAATGGCCACTTCTCCACAGTATCGTCATCAAAGACGACGAGGGTGTGGTCCTGGCGCTTTTGGCACCAAAGTATCTGCTTGCATGATCCTGCACCACCTCCAAACTTCACAAGAGATGCATACGGGTTTTTTACCTGAGAGGTCGTTTGCTCCCTCTGGACAACAAGATCGCGAAACTGCCTCTAATTATACTTACCGGATTTTGACTCTGCCACGAGTTGTCCTCGAATGGGCTCGCGCAAAGCGTGTGAATACATATATAAGACTTGGTTGTCCTGCAGATTCAATCCGGGAACCTGCAACAACCGATCAACTTCCCGAGACAAAGCTTCTATCGAGGTCCAATGTTTTTGACCAATGGTAGTGAGCTGGTCAAAGGCCTTGTTGGTCGTCGTCTTGTTCAAAAAGCGTTCCTTAATCTCACCAAGGAACTGCTTCAGGTTCAAAGCTGCAGCCCACTCCCCAATATCATCAAACCCCGTTGCGTTCGGCCAAAACCCATTCCTTTTTTTTTTCTTTTTTTTTTTTTGTGAGAATGGCCCTTGCGATATCCCTTTATCCTGACAGTGGTAAGAGAACCGTCAGAATTGAGGGCTTACCTGTCGGGCTGCTCCATCTATTGGTGGGGAGCGGCACCTGCTGGAAAACGGGTCCAGCGTTCCATTGATACATCGTGTAGCACTGAGATTGGTGTTTGTTGTTTCGTGGGGCTGTGGTTATTACTGATTCATCCTGGAGCTCTAACATCCTATGGAGCTGCTAGTATCACCCTTCCCTTTTTAGTAGCACCCGTTATGTTCCCCCCCAAGACAAGAAGTAGAGAAAGCAACTTGGGACTCGGGTTCAACAGGGGCCGTACCACAATATGTCTGTATCTCGGCAATCCACAACAACAAATTTTCACCCTTGCTATTGTTGAATGTGAAAGGCAATTTCATCTTAACTTTTTCTTTCTTCTTAGTTTTTTCAGGCTGTGCGGCGGTGTCCTTTTTTTCTTCTGGAGACTTCAATGGACTCGAAGGCTCCCCTTTCTTTTCTTCCGGTTTCTAAGTTTCTTCATTAAGAGACTTGATGTCATCTCCCATTAATTTCTTTGGTTTTTCTTTTTTTTCTGTTTTGACTTCCTCAACAACCTGGTGCTTTCCTTTGACCAGATTTGTGATTTTCCATAGTCTCGCGGCCACATCATCAATCTGTGCCTGCATCTGTTCACTGTACTGATCAATTTTCATCTCAAGGTGAGCTAGGTAGGTCACAACTTGAGCCAAAGAAATTTCCTGATTTTCCCCTTCGGTCTTGATAACAGTTTGTCTGATTTCTTGGATTTTCTGCTCTTGCTGTTCACTCTTTTTCTTTCTCAATTCTTCTTTCTTTTTCTTCTCCCTCTCAAGTGCTTCTTCTAGTTGTCTGATATTTTCATCCACATTTTCTTCAAACACAGTTGCTTCTTTCTCCTCTTTCCGGTCTGCAATCTTTCCAAGCTGCTCGATGATATACTTATCAAGTGTCTGACGACACTTAATTACTACATCCTGAGCCTGCATGACGTCAGTGCCTGTTTCAGCCTGTTCGATAGCAGCTTGTGCTGCCTTCAAATCGAACTTGGCCCACACGTGTGCCTCAGCTTCGACACCTGCGTCATGGAGATCAATCAATTGGCCCAAGCGGACAATCAAAGCCTTCTTCCGCTCGTCCACTTGCTGCCTAGTTTCGGGTTCAGGGGTCTCCTCATCAATGTCGAAGATGAGTGAGATTGGATAGAAGAGAAAGGGAATAAATCGAGTGAGCACCGACAATTTCAAACAATTCCAAAAGAGAGACATCGTGATGTGCATCTGCCGCACAATGAATAATCAAACAAGAATAATAAATTCCATGGCCGCACTATTCTACAACAACAAGAATTTTAAACAACCAAAGAAGAAAATAAATACAATTATTTCTAATTCTATCTACTGTTGTTCTTTGTCTGTCTGTGTGATGACGTTCTAATCAAGAGTGTACAGGTACCACCTCAGGCCCGTGTGATCAGATACAACACACAAGTAAGTACACACAACACCACAACACAACAAACGACAGGGTAAGTATGCCAACATCAATCAACAAACAATTTGTCAGCAATCTTCTTCTTCTTTTCTCTGCGTTGTTCCTGGTGTCAATGCGATACAGGACCCCTCTTGACAGCTGGCACTACAACTGTCCAGTCACCCGTTCAATCAGCCGTACCACCTTCGTCTTCAAGGTGCAACTCTTTCTTGGCAGCCACCTGCCTGCCACGTGCCATCCCTGGTGTGCTAACATAGCAGATCTGCCACGTGACAACATCAGTGTCTAATCAATCAGTGGTGGGATGCCACGTTAGCAAATGTGTGCTCTGGTCCTTCCCACTTGCCACTTCCTCGCGTCTTGGTGTGATACCGTCGCTGCTCCAACCAATCAAGTCAATGCCACGTCAACCAATGGAGCCAATGCCATGTCAGCAGGCTCGCCACGTCAGAAGACAATCGTGTACGACACCTGCCTGCCACGTCAATCAGCCTTGATGTTTGAAGGCCACGTCAGCATTTGTATCAGACTTGGTCGCGCCTCAGCTGCTAATGTAGCATGAGAATGCCACGTCAGCAATCTCCAACAACCAAGTCTCTAGACGTGGCACATGACATGCCACGTCAGTGTGGGATCGCGATGCCGCCTCACTATTGTGATCCTGGCTGGCGCGCGGTCACTCTTGATCACGATCCCGATTGCCACGTTAGCAGTCGCGTCGGGATCTGGTCTTCTCGCCAGCGAAGTCCGTGGCACGTCAGCAACACCGACCTTCTTCGTCATTGTCCACGTCAGATCTTGTTGTCATCACATCCAACAGGCGCGCGTTACTTACCTGGCGCCTCCTGGCGCTCGCGCGTGCTATCGTCATCGTCAGGAGTATGCTCCGATACCAAATTGCAATGAACCCAGATCGTGACGACACTTTTCAATAATGCAAGCCCGGATGAATATCAAGCTGCTGATGATTATCAATAATCGTAATTGTGTCCAGATAGAATGAGATGGGAGAATCATACACAGATGAAGGAGAGAGGAGGGAGATTAGACTTAGGAATAAACGACAAATGCCCACTTCTGCTTCCGGCTCCGTCCTCGATCACCACCAATAGTCTGAACGCACATCTGAAGTTCTATTACAATGTGCCACGTGGCACGTCTATCAGTCCCTCATCAACATACTGGAGCAATGTCGACCTCAAGATAACTAGGTACGTGTCCACGATCACCCCACAGTCATGATCTCCTCCCGAGTGACGATGAATCAGAACAACAGTGTCAGTTACGTAGCCCAGCCACGTCAGCAACAGTACATGTGGCAGCGGCCACATCAACAACGACGCGTGGCAGCTGCCACGTCAGCATGCCCTGAAGACAATAGTCAGCCAGCCACCATGCCGAGCCAGCAGCGCGTCGCCGTAGTCACACAAGTGCCAGCGCAAAGCCATCGTCCAGCCAACGTCGCAACGTCAAGCCAGCGCCGTTGTCAACGTGTGAAGTCAGCATTGACGTAAGACCAAGTCAGGAAGTTAGCGCTTATCTAGCGTTGATGCGGGGTCTGGACCCCGGATGCCGCATCCCTCAGCCGTCAAGATCTCAATGCAAATGACGGCCCAGATTGGCCTTGACCTGACAGTTGACTTAGACTTTTGACTTCCCAAGGGCAGTGTGTAGTTACACTGCCTGGCGCAGGCCAAGTTTGGCCTGCATCGTCTGGGCTCCGTTTCGAGGGCCCAGACTGTTGCAGAACATGGGTTACTGCACATTGGCGGATTGGTAGACAGTGTTTGGTAATCAAATCAATTTCCTGACGAGCATTCAGTCGTCGAAATACCAAATGAGCAGGGGGACAAGATGTCGAAGCGATGACGGTGACACAACTCACCGTAGCGATTTTCCAAAGACGACTTGTCAACTCGTTCAAGCTACAGAGTAGTGGCAACGACGTAGAAAAAATTGCGCATTACACACTATAACACGATCAATGACTCAGACTCAACATCATGACAGAGCAAATAGGCATGGAGATGAAACATCAAACAGTAACAGGGAATCTAGAGGACAAAAATGAAAACAACAAAAAGAAGATCAAACATGCATGCCGAGTCGACACCGACTAGCACAACCTGGAAAGTGATCCTTCTTGACTGTGCTAGTGATTTTGAAACAATAAACCGGAACCATGGGAAGTTACCTCTGGCCAGAGACAAATGACAACCACCCCTGGCGGCTCTGGGTGGAGAGATGCAAACAGAACGGACAGAGGAGTTTGTAGGGTATGGTGAATGTTGCAATGACAGGCACAGGAAGGAATAGGGTGGGAATGGGACCCAAAAACAGAAAGAAGTTACCGACAAACTTGAGAGACAAACAAAGCACATTACACAGGGGAAGAGAGAGAGAGAGAGAGAGAGAGAGAGAGAGAGAGAGAGAGAGAGAGAGTACCTACCGTGCAAGTCAATCCTACATCTGCTAAGGACCCTCCGCTACAGCCATTGTCGCATACACATTTCACATAACTAAGTGTAGCGCATATGCAAGGAACCGACCCCAGCAACAGACAATAAAATGCAGCGGAAGATTGGAACATACACTCTAACGCAGCAAGATTGGAATGCACAATGCTCACTCACGTCATACACAGAAGGGGCGCTGTCCCCAGACCATCCACAAATGAAGTAGGAGGGAGATGGAGACGAAGGGGAAGAGTGGGGCGAGAAGGCCAAGTCGCCAATGTCATCGACCCCGAAGATTCCCAAAGTCCCAATCTCAGCATATCCAAGGAACCGACCACAATGCTCACTCATTCATTTACACATAACTAAGTGTAGCGCATATCCAAGGAACCGACCCCAGCAACAGACAATAAAATGCAGCGGAAGATTGGAACATACACTCTAACGCAGCAAGATTGGAATGCACAATGCTCACTCATTCATTTACCACTCAGGGAGATGGGGAGGCAGCACGTCATACCCAGAAGGGGCGCTGTCCCCAGACCATCCACAAACGAAGTAGGAGGGAGATGGAGACGAAGGGGAAGAGTGGGGCGAGAAGGCCAAGTCGCCAATGTCATCGACCCCGAAGATTCCCGAAGTCCCAATCTCAGCATATTGTCCAAAGGCAGGTCTTGGCCCGAATACCAGAACACGGCAATGGCCCGAATGTCACCAAGCTCAGATCCCAGATAACTCTCTCTCTCTCTCTCTCTCTCTCTCTCTCTCTCTCTCGTGTATCCAGAAGCAAGTAGAATACTGAGCAATGGAGGATGGAGGATGTCCGACGGAGAGAAGAAGAAGAAGAAGAAGAAGAAGAAGAAGAAGAAGAAGAAGAAGAAGGAGAAAAAGAGTCCTCTCTCTCTCCCTCTGCTGATACCAGATAATGACCACACAAAGGTGTTGCCTTGACACCGGTACTGGAGCGCTGAAGACGAAGCTGGAGGTATGGCGGCCCTAGGTGAGTCAGCAGGTAAGTCCCAGTGTCTGGCCTCCGCCTCTCTGCCGCTGCAGTCTCCACTGCAGCCTCCACGCTCACCACCCATGGCCTACCGCTACTGCTCCATCGCTGAAGACTAACACAACATAACGCTGAATAGTAGCTCACACTAACCTGCCTAGTGAGAAGCAGACCAGTCTATAAATACTACTGGTCTGGCCTCTCCTAGGTCCTACTGGCCTAAACATGAGGCCCATAATGAATGGCCTGGAAATCAATCAGGCCGTACACTTGGATCGAATCTGATGGTCCAAGTGTGGCCTGGGAAAAAAAGGAGGCCAGGGCCTAAACCATTACCGGTACCAGGGCCTGGCCCGGCCGAACCTGGTGTGGGCCTAAAATGGCCCTCGTTCTGGCCTGAACCGACACAGGCCCTACTTCTGGCGCCAAAACCTAATGCGCCAGACCAAAGCTAAGTCCCTAGCCCTTCCTACC